GGGGCGAAGGCAGCTCAAGTATGATCCAGACGCCGTTGACTCTCGCCGCCTCGGTAGTGTATTGGATATCGCCTCTGTGGTTGGCCCCGCCCCCCCCCCGGGGGTTGTCGGTTCGAATCCTCGGACCGGCAGCCCTCTCCCCTCCCCTCCCTCCCCCCGGGTCCAACTAGAGAGGCGATATCCGATAACAACCGAGGCTCATTTTGCCCTTTTTTTAAAGTCTAGGTTAGGTTAGGTTAGGTTAGGCTAGGCTTTGTTCAGATGGCAAAATGAGCCTCGGTTGTTATCGGTTAGCGCCTCTCTAGTTGGACCCGGGGGGAGGGAGGGGAGGGGAGAGAGCCGCCGGTCCGAGGATTCGAACCGACGACTCCCGGGGGGACGGGGCCAACTACAGAGGCGCTAACCAATACACTACCGAAGCGGCGAAAGTTAACAGCGTCTGGATCATACTTGAGCTGCCTTCGCCCGGCTGTTGCAAACGGAAAGTGGAAAACGAATTTCTGGTGGGCTTCGAACCTCTGACCATCGGTTCTCCGAGCTGGCGCTCTACCGGCTTAGCTACGACGCCACGATACTTGCGGTCGCTGCGAGAGTCTTTCTTGTTCGTTCGTCCCTCCGTAATAGAGAGCGGAGGAGCGAGAAAAATCGTGGACCGCCCGCTTTGGGTGGGAGTCGTTCCCACGCCGATACGATCAGACGCAGACGCCTTAGACCACGCGGCCACTGACTGTTGGTGATGAAGTCTCGACTGCTTCTGCATATGTCTCTACAGGCCACCTGGAACGAACTTTCAAATATTCAGTCAAGGCCTGGATTCGATCCCGGGCCGAAGCACACGCATCAAGGCGACATGCTTCTTTTTTTGTTGTGAAATTGGTGTTCGAAAAGGTTGGCATACAGATAACCCCGAACGGGAGTCGATCCCACGCCACTGCGGTCAGATGTCTACGCCTTGGCCCACTCGCTGTGTCAGGTCGTGTCAGGAGTGTAAATATTGAAAAAGTGTCCGCCCCTACTGAGACGCGAACCCCAGAGCCGACGGTCACTCGGGGACAACTTCCCAACACGCTCGCCACTCGGCTGTCGGCTCCTCGTGTCTGCGGAGACTTGAGAACTCGGTCCCGCTTTACGGGTCTGCGTCTCCCGTAAGGTAGGCGGTCAAGTCCACCTCTTCGACGCGCTGCAGCCCGGGTCGGATAACACGGAAAAAGTTCAATCAAGGCGCGTTCCGTGCGCTTTGAATCTTGAATCAGGCCGTTTTTTGGTCATTTTCCGTGCTATCCGACCCGGGCTGCAGCGCGTTGAGGAGGTGGACTTGACTGCCTGCCTGACGGAAGACCAAGACCCGTAAGGCAGGACCGAGTTCTGAACTCGATTTCTTCAGGTGGAGCCGATAGCCGAGTGGCGAGCGGGCCAGGGTTTGGTCCGTTGGACAGTACCGGGCGAGGGATCGACTCCTGGTCGGGGCTAATTTTTTGGCGGGACCTGCTAAGTAGATGGTCGGTTAGGTACCTACAGACCGCGTCAGTCCATTCGAATGCCCGAAAAAACAAGAAAAACTCTCCTCAGTATTCGAACCAGCAACCACCCGAGCCCGGAACACGCGCTCTACTAACTGAGCCAAGTACGCTGCTGCTTTTTCGCGCTGCGCTGTGGCTTACGCCCGAACATATAATCAGAAAAGAAGCAAAAGGATGCCGCCGACGGGGTTTGAACCAGCGACCATTACGTACTGGCCTATCACATCAGCTGTCGCACGACTGAGAACTCAGCCAGCGGAGCGCGAAAATTTTTTCTCGATCGGGATTCGAACCAACCACCAATGTCCGGGGCGGCGGCGCTTCCGACTTAGCTACTGCGGGAGATGATGGGGACGCAGTCTCCTGGCGACATGTGGATCCCAGTCGTCGCCGCCTCCTGATGAAAAAAGTCCAGCACAGCGGGAAAAATATTCTCTGGGCGGGATTTGAACCAGTGACCCTCCGCATGGTGACGACAGTCTGTACTAACATAGCCACAACGGCAACTTGCTAAATGCAGTTCCAGAGGGTGTGCAGCTCTCGCTCACCAGCCGTGACCAGCAAAGCGGGAAAAATATGATCAACGGACAGGATTCGAACTAGCAACTATATCTCCACCGCAGGCTCGCGCTCCAGGCGTTTCAACTATGCCGAGGAGGGTTACTACAAACGACCGTTGCTGGGGGCCAGCGCACTCTGCGCTGTCGCTTACGGTTTTTCGATTTTGAAAATAACATTTTCCCCACGCTGCGTGGGCCATAGGTTTGCAGCCGCATCTTACAATTATTTTCAGTGTACAATTTTACCGTTTTAAAATTGTGTTACATTCTACAGTTTTAAAACGTTGAGTTGCTGTTTTTTTCTCACATTTGAATGGAGTGGCGGGAGGAGGAGGGAGGGAGACTGCCCCGCGGCACGGGCTGGGGCGTCGGAGGGGCCAGCTCAGTGACATTAAGCCCGACATGAAGGGCCGTGCGCCAGGCGCCACGGCTCGCAGGGAAAGGTAAGCAGGGCCGCGAGGGTGTTCCGCGCCGCCAGGACGGAGGGGGGCCGCTGCCGCCCCTTGCGCCAAAAGGGTAATAACCTGCTCATTTGGGATATGCCAGGCATTAAAACTTGCCGTCGTCGCCGTCATCCTGGCCCTCTTCATGGCGTCGCGCGCGGAGTGTTGTCGTCCCGTCATGTGTACCGTTAAATTAATTTTTGTGCGCCCTCTCGCGGCAGCGAGTCATCACAAAGACAAACTGTGTAATCGTGCTTAGTTCTGTTTAAGTGCAAAACTTTTTAAGGGACACTGGGCTACAAGTTAATATTACTGTGTTCATCCACGCCGACCGTCACATATTGACTCGAGCCTCATCGGGTATGAATGAAACGCAGTACGTACTCAACTATAGCGGGAAAGTGGATGGTGTGGTGGGGCGGGGCGACGGCCTTGCAGTTTGAGTTTTAAATCCGCGACCTTAGTCGGATTTTCGACTTTTTCACTCTCTCTCGCTCCCCCACTTTTTTTTTGTTCGTGTGCAATTTCGTGCATGACAGGTTTCGAGCGGACTGAAGAGGAGGCATCGGAGCCCGACCGCCACCTCTCCTACTGCTGCTGCCACTGCTGCCGCCGCCGCTGCTGCTGTTGGTGCTGCTGCTGGTGCTAGTGCTGGTGCTTCTGCTGCCGCCGCCGGCATTGTGGACTATTACAATGCGATCGTGGGGCGGGGCGATAAGTCGTCCCGCGGGAAGGACCTCGCCGAGGACCTCGCAGGGAGGGCTACGGGCAGGGCTCGTCCTGATCCCCCTGCAGCAGCAGCCTGCCAGACCAGACTGTCCCGGTGCCCAGGAAAAATAAAATAAAAAAACTCATAGTACAACAAACCCCGGGTGGAAAAATCAACAGATTTTGGTCTCTCTCTATTATTTTCGTTTAATTATTGTTTTTAAATTCTTCCAAGCTGTTGTTGTTTTTGTTGACGATGGTGGTGGTGGTGGCTGTGGTGGTGGTACGTCGTCGGTGGTGGTCGCAACGCTGATAAACGCGTCGCACTTAAAAGAGAAAGGACAGCGTTGGCCCCCTGGCCCTCTCTTCCCCCCCGCACGGGGGGCTCCTCTGAGGCAGTCTTATTGTGTTGTTCGGCCGGGCCGGGCCTGGGGCCGGTCAGGCGCGGCGGGGCGGGGCGGCGCACACCCGCCGCAAACTAATGCGCGGTAATTATGTGCTGGCCGCCCCGCTCTCTTTATTTATTTTATGACGGCAAATTTACTAGGGGAGTCTCTTAATGGCGGAGAGGAGGCAGAGGTCGTCGCGGGGGAGGGGGTGGTGTTGCTCCAGGTGAGGTAGGTTATTCGCTCCCCTGGACCGCACCACACCACTTTCGGGAGGGTAAAAAAAAAGAAAAACACTTTTGACGCAGAAAGAGGATAATATTTTTGCCCCGCGTATGTTTAATTGGCCAGTCACTCTCTCTCGCGCCTTGCGCCTTTCTCTCTCTCCGTGTGACTGGAAGGCGGTATGGATGTAGCTGGAGGCAGCCTCTGAAGGCGGCGGCCGGAGGTGCCTCACCCCAGCGCCAGAGCGGTTAATGCTAAATTAAGAATGTACCCGCACGAATGTGTTGCTCCCGTCTCCGTGCCTCCCCCGCAAAAGGGGTTGCTTAAGGCTGGCGGCTCTGGATTATACGGGGGTGCGGCGGCGGGGCGCGGCGGG